GCTCTGGGGAACATCTGCAGTGGTGAACCATTTTATTGCAAGGGGTGCTGCCGTCTTTATGATGGGCATTTTGGGAGGAGGTTTGGGTTTACCAATTTATACTTATCATTTGTCTTTTTTGTTCATGTAAGCAGTGCAGAAGCATGCAGCTTCATGGTGACAGCATTTCTGGGAAGTGATGAAGAAACTCCAGTGCAGCCCAAGCATTTCTGTTGTGTGTTTAGGACTGGGCAATAGGCAGCAAGAAGTTGTACCACTGAAGCTGTTCTACCGTCTGAAAACAGCCAGCCTAAACCTGACAGCCTCGGTTTAAAATGTTTGCTTCGCAGTGCAGTTTCGAGTGAAGAAACTGCACTTTCTTCAATATTTTTTTTTATATTTATTTTAGTCCCAGGGAAGTCTTCCTAATTAAGTTGGTGTGTAGATTTGTCAAGCTGCAAAAATTAGAATCTACTGCAGATGTTTCTTTCTCATGTGCTGCATACGTGTAAATTCTGTATTAGATTGAGGTCAGCGTGAGTACTGGGGAATAGATTGCTGAATCAAGAAAAAATAGCCACTGGACTTCCAGTGTGGAAAAACTATGTCTGTATTTACATGTCTGGTAATGCAGAGCCTAATAATTTTTTAATGTGAAATATAATTTGGAGAATTTTCTTTGTATTCAAGGCCATTTTATGCATTGCAGCATTTCAAATGGGGTGAGTTAGTCTAGCAAAGAGTAGATTGAGGAAAGACACACTGTTAGTCAGAAGGTATATGAAGGTATTTAAGATAGGTAGAAACTAAATTTAGCTACTAGGAGAAGCTTTCTGACAACAAGGTTGGCTGGTAAAATTGTAGAATCTTATTTTAAACTCTTAAAAGCAGAGTAAGCGAGTTTCTCAGGAATGATTGAAGTATTACTGATCCTGCTTTTGATAAGAGACAAAGTAACATCTCATGAATCATAGAAATCCCTGGGGTTTATTTGTTTCCTTTTTTTGCTACTGTGCACTGGATGACCAAACTCATCATGTATTATTGTTGATTTTTTTTGTCTTGTCCCTTCCTCCTCTTTTTTTTTTCCCCATTATGAGCATTCAACCCTTTTTTTGGCTGTTGCTGGAGTTTACTTACGTACATGTGGGTGCCTTTGACTTTTTGTTAGATCATTAAGGATTTTAGATTCTGCATGATGCCACCTGAAAGGCAGTTTCCTTGATATCTCTAATATACCAGTGTCCATTTTGAGACTTCATTTAAATCACTCTGGTGTTGGTATAGTAGTTTTATTATACTGTACATTCATTCAGTACTATTTGATGTATGTAGGAAAAAAAAAATTCCTTCCAAACAGAGCATTAGAGAGCTGCAATTAATGTTTTGGGTAACTCAGTGGTAGGAAATGACCATCTTGTTCTAGTTCAGATATTTATCAGAACAGTTTTGTTTGACCTGTAACTTAGTTGTGACCTTAGTGTTGAATACAAAAAACTGTGACTTGTTTTGAAACTTTGCTCTCTACTGAATAGTTTTGTGTGTGGCCTTCAAACAATTCAGTGAAGCTTTTTCTACTGCAGTTGGCTATTTACAGAAATACAGTAGTACTGAATTTTTGGACCTATATTGTGTAAGGAATATGCTGATAATGTTTCTGTGGTGCTTTTGAAGCATATTTTTTTAACTTGTCACAATGTCCTTAGATGTATAGAGCATGTTGCTTTTTATGCTTTGTTGTTAGAAGCAGCAGTGGATATGCTGAGATGGGATGTCATGGAAGTACAAAGGCTTCTATAAGAATGTAAAGAATTAGGGGATTTGAGGACAGCATGGTCCTGTCATACAAAGGGTACAGCTCAGTATCTTAATTGTACAATTTTTAGTGTATGTTGCACCTCAAAGTGACTAAGGTTTTTTTTTTTTTTTTATGTCTGTGATTTTTGTTTGTTGATTCAAAGTAAGTATTGGTTGCAGAGGTCCGGAACAAGTAGGAAAGCACTGCTGGAAATCCGTGTGAGAAGCTGTTTTATATGCTAGTCCTTCATCTATGGTTATGAGGGGTCTAAATCTGGCTTGCTAATGAAATGTCTCAACTTTTTCACTATATAACAAAAAACCCATTCTTCAGAGCAGTCAGCATTGAGTTTCCTCATGAGAAAGCTACCCTGAATAGAAGAGAGGGTATTTTGCATAAAAGAGTTCATGTTGCGTGCACAGTCCCCAATTCTGGTTAATGTTAATTATGTACTAGTGAGAGAGTGAGGGAGGAGTGTAATGAATAGGATCACATTAAGATTTAAATTAGCAAGGGATGGGAGAGTCAATGTAAATATTTAATGTTTTTTATGTGGTCCAAAGAATCTTCAAACAGATACTGGTTGTAGGATAAGGATGCTTTAGTGGAAAAGGCTGTGGTGAGCACACCTCAGTGTGGGCTGCGCGTGTTCCTTTTCTGCTCTTGGGTTTTGTTCCAAAGCAGCAAAATCCAACAAAAAGCATTACTTTTGATTCATGGGTTAATTTTGCAGAGAGCATAAAGTACGTTTAAGTGGATTGCTCTGTATTATCAAGTGGATAGTTATGTCTTGTGTTTTCACTCCTGCTATTTTAAATGTTTTAAAAACTAGTGACGTATAGGCTTCCAAAAATTATTTTTTAAATTGAAAAATCAACCGTGAAAGGATTTGATAGGTAGGGAAAAGGTTCAGTGCTCTTGCCAGGGTAAATCTAAATGAAAGCAATTAATGTTTTTTCTCTTGTCTTTTTCTGTTCAAATATATGTATGTGTTTATAGATGTACAGGTCTATAATTTCTATTCCTGAGGGATTAGCAACTTTTTAAAGTACCAGTCCCAAAGATTGACTACTCGATGCAACTAGAGCTACCTAAATATTTCCCCAGTACTAATTTTTGTATTAATATTTTTTAGCCCAGTGGTTTCAGAGCAGTTTCCGTATGGCATGGCGCTCGTTACTTAATTTAGCAAATGGCTTCAATCTTTGGAAAATGAGTAGTGCAGCGCAGCTTGCTGGAACGTTTATGAGACGGTAAGAGCCCGGCTCTGGCATCTCATGTTTTCCAGTGTGAATCTGCGTGGCTGGTGATGCACTACACCCATGTGGGGTTCATCGCGTACGTAACTTACTCCTGTTTGTGCCATGTTAAGAATAATGCAGACAGTATGAAGAGCCTGTTGAATTAGGAAACTGCCCTAGGCTGTTTGTGTCCCACGTACCATTTGTTGTTCAGATTGATCTCCATACAACCAGTGGGAAGCATTACATTTCACGTGCCTCTTCTGCAGCTTATTGATCCAGTCTCCTCTGGGTATTTCAGCAATATGTGTTACTGGAAAATCAATTCACAAAGCTGCAGCATCAGTGTGGGACATGTAATAGTCAAACAGGGAAAATTGTATGCCGCAAACATCGCTTCCTTTAATGCAAGCTGATGAGTCGTGGAAAGGAGCATGACTGTGAATACTTTGCCTTAGTCAAAAGCAGGAGTAAATGGTGTTGAGGACATTTCAAGGGGGAATTTCAAATTCCACACTTGTTTATAAAAAGTTCACCCTTCTCTGTGGGATTTTTTTCTAATAAACTAGATTACTAAATCCACTGTTTCTCCCAGAGTACTTATCTGGTGCATTCTTCCATGCATAATAGCTGCCTATAAATATTTAAGATTTTTTTTAAAGGAATTTGCAGTTTCCTAAAGAATTCTTTGATATGAGAGGAGGAAATGTCACTGAAAATGGGAGAATCTTCTGCAGCTTTTCATGTATATTTACTTACAGGCATTTTTAAACTAAAAATGAATAATCCCTTACAGCGGGGAAGCGAGGGAAGAAAAATAGCCTGTGCATTTTCCAGCAGATATTTTTAAAGATCAGTCACAATGTAATGATACTTATAAGCAGATGTTAAGAGTACACAACGCTTTTAAAAATAACTGTTAGATTTTAGTTTTTCTGCCTTTAATTTCTCAAGATTTAAACTCGGCAGGGTAGGGCATGAATTCAAATTGTGGTAACAGTTACAAATGTTGACTCTGTCATTTTGGCTTCCTCTTCCCTAAGAGAGCATGGGTCTCCGTTCAGACATGGTGGTGCAGCTACAGTCTTCATGGTGCTTGAGTTAAACAAGGTTTTGCATGTGGACTCTGCAAACGATGGAATGCAAAACTAACAGTCACATTAACACTAGAAGTAGTATCAAGTTGTGGATATTTCATATCTTCCCTTTATTCTTTTTTAGATTATAATTATTGAGCTGGAGTCATATTTCAAGTGAGATAGCACTTCATTAAAAATGTATTTATTCAGGTGTTTAAGGAATTCAAAAATTATGCTATCAGGTGTTAAAAATACTGCCGAGAGAGTTGGGTTCAGTTTTTAATATCTAACCTGCTGTGGATGTTAAATATTTACATTGAAGGTCACCGCTGTTATTTGCTGTTCACTTTTCAGTGTGCTTGGCAGCGTTCATTAGAGCACTGCGTTCCTCCCACTCGAGTGTGGAGGAAAAAGGCTGTCGATTCTGTCAGAGGGACAAAAGCAAACCTATACTAACCCAGAAGGAAATTGTGTTTATCATGGCAGTTTCCTCTCACGTGGGGACATGCAGTGACGGTCAGAGGAGGATGGCTGAGCCCGAGCAAGTAGGAAGCTCTGGAGATGCTCACGTGAAGGTGTGGTTCATAAATACAGTGAGGTTCTCCCCCAGTAGTGAGCACCACACTGCCCACCATGCTGCTATTAGACCTTCTGTCTTAAAAAAACCCCCCAACCAAACAAACACAAAAACCTCACAATGACAAAACCCCCCAAACTGTCATGTTGGAAGCTGATGCTTTCAGGCAGACTGTGTTTTTTGACTGTGTGAGGATTGTGTCTGTGCTTAGACCATTAAGACTGGGGAAAAGTGACCTCGTGGGTAGCACCACAGGCCATTTCCCACAGCTGGCTGCTGCTACATGTCTGTTGCCTGTGACTGTAATGAAGAAGGTGGAAAATAAATGGGAAGAGGAGGCGAAAGGAAAGCTGTGACAGACTTGAGTCTAAAACCTGTTGTAGTTCTCTATGTGGAAAATGCCCAACTGCAGACTGTCAGGTTTCCTTTCTGCCTTTGATCAGTATCCATTAGCTTTCTTTGATCCTTTTTGAATATCATCATCTAGTTAAAAGGCTTCTTGATTGTTCTTTGTTAATTTAATGTTGTTATAGCATCCATTTAATGAGTTTGATAAGCAGAGTTGTCTTTTTGAGTAAAAGTTCTTCCTGGCTGCATGTCCCGGGTGAGTTGGGTGCTTCAGCCTTCCTGCTGTGCGTTCGGCTTGGTTTTACTTGCAGGTATGGAGCCGAGGAAGCTTGAGGCAAAATGTGTGTGTGTGTTCCAGCTGTGTCCTGGCTGTTCCCTGCTGGTGAGGGTTCAGCACGTGACACGAGGAACTTGTGACTTGCCGAGATAAAATGATTAAAGGTCCTTTTAAGACATTGCTTTTCTGTGTTTGTGCTTTTGCACTCCCCAGCTCATTTGTGTCAGACTTGCTGGAGTAGAAGCGCTGTCTGTGTCATTGCTGGCAGGCTGAGGTTGCAGAAGTCCTGAGAAAACTGCATAAAACTATTCCGGGTTGCAAAAGATGTTTTCCTGTGGAACAGTTTCAGAAGGCAGAAGTGACAAGTTGCAGAGCTTCCTGTGCCTGCATTTAGTTCTATTAATTGGAGCCAATATTTAAGATGATTATTCTGTTAGAGCTCTGTACTTTTAAATTTTGAATGTTTTTTGGGTTTGTGTTTTTCATACAGCGTTAAGGGCATATTTTTATGTTGGCAGTAGTAGTGCCTTGTTCCTATTTAGTGGTTTTTCATCATTACATGTCAGATCACTTTGCAAAATTAGTGTCGTTATTCCCTTAAACAGAAGAATCAATACCACTACCAATGTGTTCTTCCCCATCTGTCCCAGAGTGAAGGCAAATTGGCTCAAGCTCATCTTGTTTCTAAACAGATACTATTACTATGTCAAGATCATTTTCCTGATTTTTTTTTATTTCTCAAATATTTCTGGGTTCTAAGTGCTTCCTGTGATGGGTTATTTTCAATCCCTGTTGTGAAAAATTATTTTCAAAGCTGTACTTTTTGCCTTTAGGCAGTTATTAAATGGGACACAAAAGAGTGTAAAACTCTAATAAAAAATATACTACAGATATTTGGCATGATGTAATTCTGTGTGCAAGGTTTAAGGTGCTCTTTACCTGGTCATATGTCCTGTTCTTTGTCATCCTGAAGACCAAACTACAGCTATGGTGGGGATAGAGCTGTATCTTTAACCTCAGGGGGAGCTAAGATCTGATCAGACATGCATCTTTCTTTGTAGTTCCAAATAATCTTGAAAAATTACTGCTGCTGCATGTTGTTGTTTTTAGTTACAAGCCCATAATGCTGAGGGTGGAGGAACCTTTACAGAATGAAATAGAATTGCCAGTAATTTTCTCTGCATGGTAGAGACATTGGTCTTGGTGGTAATAGAGCAGTGGCCCTGGTGACCCCTCACTGATTATGCAAGACTTTTGCAAAGGCTGTGTGGGAAAACAGGCATTTAGAAATGAAGGAGCAAACTTACAGGAAATTTCTGGATGGCTTCCTTAAGCATGTTTCCTAGTTGCACCCAGGCAGACCTAGAGAGGAGCCTTTCACTCCCACCAACAAACGCATCAGTAAGAAATTAGCGGAGAGGACCTGGTCGTGTCTGATTGAATGGACAACTGAAGAGTCCTTTGGCCATGCCCAAATTTTTTCTGGAGAGAGATTATGATACGATACTGAGTGAGCATCTGAATATTCAGTATGGCTTTTTGCAGGCAAATGTTATTTTTTTCCAGCTTTAACCGTTTATTGCTTGTCAGTTACACAAAATAAGTAAACCAGTCAGATTTTCTGATAAGCCATTTGGTACCATGAAGGACCCCAGGGTACACATTTAAATTGTGTGCTTTTGAAAATGTTTGAAGAAATTTTTTCCAGAGGGCAGATTAATTTTTTTTTTTAGGCAGACAGTACCCTCCTTCAAGGCGAGTTGCACGTTGTGCTCTCTGTGGAAGTACATTTTGATGGCAGTAATTGGTCAGTGACTGTCAGGTCTTATCAGTGAACGTTTATCATTTCGCTTTCAACCTTCTTCCTGCGTAGGTGTTCTTTACTTGATGGAACAAGAAGAGGAGTATGTTTTCACCCTGCCTAGTGCCTATGCTCGCTCGATACTTACCATCCCGTGGGTGGAGCTTGGAGGGAAAGTCAACATCAATTGTGCCAGAACAGGCTATTCTGCTACGGTCACGTTCCACACCAAGCCGTTCTATGGAGGGAAGGTCCACAGGTACGGGCATTACTGTCTTATTCTTGTTTACCTGCTACTGGGATTCAATGGAAAGACTCTAGGGCATCTGTTCAGTTCTTCTGTTGAAGTATTTATGGACAGATATCTGAATTTCTTTTCCTATTAGTGTCTGAGATGACTTACAGCTTTAGAACACAGTTTATTGTAGTTATACATTTTATATCATTTAACTGAATTGGATATATTTCTCTCATTAAACTAAAGTGAATGTATTCTTCCAGGCTTTGTTGCTTGTAAAAAAATTGCTGTAAGTGCAGGATCGGAAAAATGTACGTAGAAAATGCAGTATTTCTGCTACGCCAGCTGCTGCTTCTGTGTGAGTCTTGTAGATGAACTGGTGTTCCAGGTGGAGCTCCTGTAAGGAGGAGAAGCGGAAGTGTCGCTGCCCATAGCGGTAGCTCCCTACTGGGGACTCCCACTTCTGCACTGAAATTCCAGATGATGAAAATATTATTTATGTGTCTTTTTGGTTCCCTTTTATTAAGGGCGTGAAGAGGCACTGTGCGAGATAGCTTCCTGTCCTCCTTCCATGCTCAAGTTGATGACCCAATCATTAACGTACACAGACCCCTTTCTTGTTCTGGTGCGGCCTGTAGCAGTGTCTGTGAGAAGGCCGTGCTTTTGCACGGTTACCTCTGTTTTATTTCAGTTGGTCTAATTATCCTTCCCTATGTGTGTCAACCATTTCAATATTGTGTTCAGGCAAATATCAACGTGGGCTGTTTTGACAGGGCCTTTTCTAAAAGGTGTAGATGAATAATTGGTGCCATCAGGATGAGTGAAAATTGGGGAAGGTTGTGCTGTATTAGTTTCATAATTTAAAAACTTAATTGAGTTTACAGATTACTTGACATGGCTTGCTGAAGCACATGTGTGCCTGTTCATAGAGACACACACACACACGAAACTTCTCCCTGCATTTTGGTTTTCCAGTCCTACCTATCTATTTTGCTCACTCTCAGACTGGTTCTTGGACCACTGAGGTAGCTTTAATCAGTGCCTTTCAGCAGCTGAGGAGGAAACTTGCAGAGCTAAGGAAGAAAATAAAGGTACCTGAAGCCTTTGACATGGGTATCTGACAGCATTATGTTCAGGTGTGAAAATAACACGTGTACTGAAAATGTCACATGAATGTCAGGAGTTGTTTTTCAGGCTGATGAGATAAACAGTTCTGGGTTAGAGCTCAGTATCGGAGTTTTAAGCTGGGTTACTGCTGTACTTTGGGAGAATGTCGTCCAAAAGCTCTTGCTGTGTTAGTGGAGCTTTCTTGGGTTGAGTCTTTCTTTTTGGAGACAGCGTCACTACTTTGCTTGAAAAATTACTTTGTAGATGTAGAAAGCTGCTTTGTAGCCTTAGCTGTGGTAGTGCTTTCATATGCTGATAGTAAATGGTACTAGTTATTTCTGCGGTCTTTTTATCTTCCCTCTTGAATTAGGGTTACAGCCGAAGTGAAACACAATCCCACTAACACCATTGTATGCAAGGCACAGGGAGAATGGAACGGTACGCTGGAATTTACTTACAGCAACGGAGAAACCAAAGTGATTGACACTAATAAACTGCCTGTTATCAGGAAAAAGATTAGGCCGATAGCAAAGCAAGGCCCGCTGGAATCAAGGTAAGGGCAGAGGCGTTACAGTGTTCTGCTTCTGAACCTCGGAGGGGAACAGAACAGGGGAGCAAACTGCAGTTATAAATGGTGTGGTTCAAAAACGCCTCGCTTCCTACAGCACATTAATCTAGGCACAAATAGCTGAAGCTGTGTATTGGTTCTTTGGAACATAAATTATGTTATAGTGATGTATACATCAATTTTGTAGAGGGGGAAAATGCTTGTATACATTTTAAAGAGCATTTGGAAAATGGTAATGCGGTGTTTTCACCTGCTTTTTTGAGCAATTGTAACATGGCAGTCAAATTAGTTTGTTGCAAGTAATGTTGCATCTTATAATTTACACTGTTTTATATACTTTAGAATATATATATGTATAAAAATATGTAAAATGTGATGCAGTGTGGGATATAAATACACACACACGTGGTTTTAAGGCTTTCAGCACCCATGTCACATGCCTGACTAGGTACATTAGAAAAAAACTTGTTCTGTTATTCACTGTCAATAACTGTTGATGGTTATCTTCAGAAAAATCAGTATTTTTATTGAATGTAGGAACATTTTATTGGAGGATTTTAAAACATGAGTTAAGCTTCATTTTATTATTTGTAAATATGTTCTCTTTATTGTACAAAGGTGTGTCTTGAGTCATTGTGCAGGGTCAGATATCATTTTCCTACTTGCTAGAAACGCTTGCTTATCACAAACTCATTTTTCCCCTGTAGTTTAGGAACAGAGAGGTTGGAGTAAATAAGGAAACCAGTAGCTCTGCAGTGTATTTATTGTATTTTTTGGATACTAGTAAGCAAATTACAACTATCCAGTTTTTCTGCAGGATATGCGGTTTATCAGATTGTAAACAGAAACTCATTTAAACACCCCTGGAAATATGTGAAAGCTGCCATCGGTTTCTTCTCAGTATTTTTCTGGGCAAAGTTTCTGCTAGGCTAATATAGTGTGAGAAGGCATTGCATCTGAATGCGGTCAGTCGTGTGAAAAACAAGTTTGGTTATATACTGATAATTATTGTTAACTGGGAATATAGAGCACAGATCTGGGAGGGCGCCCTAGAATCAGTGCATCAATTCCTCTGTTAGTAACCTGGTGGGAACAGTCAGTGTCCCAATATTATGTACTCTGGGCTTTTGGCTAACATTCCCTTATAATTCAAAAATTTAACTGCGAATAAACGCAGAATAAACGCATGTCATTTGGGGGTGGATCATCAGTAAAGAATGTGAACAGGAAATGATAAAAATAAACCCATCTGCTTTGAGAAAAAAGCTCAGGTTGTGAAGGGTCAGGAACATGAACAAAAGCTATTGAGAAAGTCAACTTGCATGGCAAAACACTGGGAGCTGAGCAAATCTGAAAATCTGGTCACAAATGCGGTGAACATTCTAGCTTGTGAACCATCACTCTCCTATGTGACTTGCAAAAATGGCATGGAGAACATGGCATCAGTCTGCCTCTCGCCGCACTGTTGTCCAGCCAGGCACTCGGCTGCGGCAGGTCTTCTCACTCTGTCGCTTGTGCTCCTTCTCCATCACGCAGGCACCTTTGGCAACACGTCACCAATTCTCTGAAAGAAGGTAATATTGATGCAGCAACAGAACACAAGCACCGCCTTGAAGAGAGACAGCGAGCAGAGGAGAGGCAACGCGTGGCTCTTGCAACGCCTTGGAAACCAAAATACTTTGCCAAAGAGGTACTTTCATTGTCTTATTTTAAAGACCCTATGGCGTGTTTCTGCACACAGGAGGTTGCTAGTACAAATGAGTTTGTCTGTGGTTTTTACCATGGGCTAGTGTTGTTATATACCACTGATTGTTTTAAATTCTATTTTTGCCAGAGTTTGGCTCTTAAAGAAGAGCGATGGATTTTTCCATGTCCATATTGTAAACTTGTTCACTTCCCTTCAGTTAGATTTATTTCAGCCTGAATTTTTGGTACCTCATGTTAGGCACTTAAAGCTATGTTTTGTACCTTAAAATCCACACCTTAATTTGCAAATGCTGTGTACTCACATCCCCTACTAATCTTGATCTCAGCATACTAAGTGAACACCATCTGGGGATATTTGTCCAACGTAAGTCAGCGTGGACATCTCAAACACAGTCGTGGGTTTTGTCTGCTTGAAATGAAACAGATTTTACTAAGTTCGTCTTTGCCCTTTCTTAGAGGAAAGGGGGAAGGGAAATAAGACTGACTGAGGGAATTATTACGTGACTGTGTTGTTACGTTAGCCAGTATGTGCAGCTATTTAAACCAGCAGTTCATCTGTTGCATCTTCCCACTGCTTCTCTTCCCCCTTGTAGTTTTTGCCCTCCCGCCCATATTACCTGTACATTCATTAAGCACAGAATTTTCAGACGAGAGGGATGGTTTCTTGTGTTGATTAGTATTATTTTAGCTTTTATGTGGACATACACAGATCCAGTATGTATAAATCTTGTTTGTAAACTCTCCCTAATTTTCTTGCAGGGCGATGGTTGGCTATACTTGAATCCTCTCTGGAAGACCCATTGATGGGATAGAGCTTAACTTTACCTTAAAGGCATTAAAATGATACAGTATATAACTTCAAGATGTCATTGAATAGGTCCTGTTATCAGAAGATACAAATGAGAAGCTATATACTGTGAATGATGCATCTCAAAATAACCGCAAGCTCAAGTTTCCGCAGGAGCCATTTTGTGTGTATGGATACACAAACACACACGCACACATCCGTATGTACACACATATATACACGCAGTGTGTATGTGTTTGTGTATGTATTATTTACACTACATGTAAACAAGTATAAACACTAACAGTGATTTAAAGACCTTTTCCTCGTAAGTGTTAGGGCACAGAACTCCGGCTGGACTCAGCTGGGGTTCCCCGAGTTGTGTGCTTGCAGGATCAGGCCCTATGCTAGTATTTAAGAAAATACTTTTTTATTAGTACTGGTTAAGGTTTTTCTATTTTTCACTTTTGCCAAAAATGTTTTGCACTTACAATGTGACGTGTCACTTAATGGCAGTCATTCTGTCTAAACAGTCATTGAGTAACTCACTTTGACGTAAGAATGATACACTGACAGCGCGCTCGCTCTTTGGGATGCTGATTTAAGAGCATGTTTCCTGTCACTTACGAGTGTGAATTTTCTGCCATCTTATCAGAAGTAGCAATACCTTCTCAAGAACATTGTTCGCACTAACCCGTTGTGTCCTCACTCTTTTGTTTGTTCGTACTTCCAGCTGTTTAATAGATCTCTGGTCACCAGTGAGCCAGCTGCTCTGGTAATTTTGATCTTGCTGTGTAACGCTCTCTGGCTACTGTCATGCCAACGCTTTAGGTTACGTGTTCCGCTAAATCCCTTCCGGCAGACGTAGCCGTGGTGTTCCAGCTCACTCTTGCCTCAGCTTTCCACCCCCACGTAAGAGAGGTATAGCACGCCACTGGGCTGTGCCTGTGGCACCCCGGTTCCCAGCCTTGCCTTTTAAGTTAAACCACTGCTGATGCGTTCACGCTGAAATGCCGGGATGTGCGTTGAGGCGGGTGAGGCTGGGTAGGAGTCCTGTCCTGCTGTGACGGCCGCGAGCCTTCCCCACCAGCCGAGAGGCGGGTTCTCTACACCGCTCTGGGAAATTAGACAGAGCTCGTCTGCTCAGAGCCCTTAATTCCGTATTGAGGCTCCAAGCAGACCTGTATTTTGATTTCTTTTGCTTTTGCCCTGGTTGATTGCTTCTGGATGAAATGTTTGGGTGAATAGAGATGATACAACTGGCCTTCTCAGACGAACGGTTTTCTGATGTAGAAGTAACAATTTAGTAAATTATTACACTGAGACAATAACAAATGAAATGGGATATAATTTGCGTTGTAAAGTAAAAAAAAGGAAGTAATTAAACAGTCCTGTAGCTTGATCTTGCGTTGTAAGGTAACCCCTGTGACACTAAGAAAGTGGATTCTAAAAGTGTGTTACAGCTTCGTTGCTTTATAGTTCGTATTTGTTGAAAGTGAAGACGTTTTTGAGAGAAGTGACAACAAAAGGCACATGTAAAATGTGCTGACTTCTGCTCAGCGCTGCTTTTTACAGTGCCCCATAAAGAAACCACTATATTTCTAACATACAGTAGCATGGATGCCTACCTTTCTGTAGTACTGGTTAATTTTGTGCCTTTTGCCTGCTCTCTTAATAAAATAACTTATGCTTTGTAGCTATTACACAAATATATTTAGGTCAAAGCACCGCTTATAGCTGTTCTTGTGCGTCCTGCATTTTGTAATTATTTTTTTGGTAGATTTTAAAATCTCTTGAGCAACTCAAAAGACTAAACAGAGGTGTGTACCCAAGGAAACATGCCATTAATTGTTCATTTGGACATAATATTTAATATTTACATTATATGAACTTCAGATCCCTATTTAATGAAGGTGTGGCTCTTTTTCCTCCTAAAAGCTATTTTGTCTGCTTGTATGTACTTTTTTTGCACATCGGAAAGGTTCATGTTATAAATGATTTAAATCCTATTTTTAAAAAAAAATGTGGACTGTATGAGCTTGGTTTTGTAACTGACACTTTTTTTTTTTTAAAAGAAAAAAAATCTTATTTTTAGAAGTAGTTGATGTTTTTCTGTAACAAAACCAAAATGATGCTGTCATGGTGATCACTGAACTACTACCAAGTATCATCAGGAAAACGTGTACTTTATCACCTGCAAGAATTAACTTTATAATGGATCCACTCTTGTTCTAGAGGTTAGTCTGACGAGTAACTCTTAAGTGTTCACACAGTTTGTAGTATCATCACAAAGAACAATTGAAAATGCGGAATTAAACACGTGGAACATCCTCCCAGAACTTTGACTTTCACACACCAAAGAACAAGCCACATACTCACTAAAAATAGCCATTGAAAACCTCTCTCTGTCAGGCATGCAGGCCTGCGCTCCTGAAAGAGTAGACCTCTTTCGGCTTTGATGGTATGACTGTCGAGGCTACGAAGATGCTGTAGCCGTTCTTTTAAGGAGAAATTTGAATAATTTTATGCTTGTAATTTATTGAAGATTTTTTCTGTCTGCATGGTTGGTTGTTTCTGCATGCCGAGAACATTCCGCTTGTGCTCTGATAAATGTTTTGTTCTGTTCTGTTCTGATGCTGTGAAGAATCCCCCGATGCCATTACCACTGTTTCTTTTCCAAAGTAACTGGGGAGAGGCAACCATAAAACCAGTCCTTTCTGAAAAGATCCCATCAGCGAGAGATTCCAGAACAAGACTCACAAGTGTCGTTTTATTTTCTGATAGTTACCTCTTCAGTATATTTTGCAGGACTGAAAAGTAAATAATTCATAAGCCTTATTCTGTAGGTTGTTCCACTAGCTGTCTTGGACTTGCAAGTAAATATTTTCCTTTTCAAGTAGCCAATGTACACTCTGAACTGTAATGTAAAAACCTCCATGTACTTCAATTTTTTTTTTGTGCACACCTGTAGAAAGCCTATGCAACCTTTTTCTTTCTTAAATTAGAAATGTTCAGAAAGAAAATTTATACCTTTATCATTTAAAAGATGCTCTGGCAGTCTCTTCTGATTTGCCTTCCTTTCATAATTTGTGACAATGCTCATGAATAAAAGATTTGTTTCATTTAGTGGTGGGATGCCCTTTCTCTTTCCACTGGTGCATTAGTTAATTGGTACCAGTTACTCGGATGTCCAGCAGCGATGTACAACACGCGGGGCACCTGTGAGCTGTTTGCACGGTTCTGATCGAAGTGAATTGTCAGCTGAATCCTGCTTTGTCGCGGGGTTTTTCTGCCCCGTTCACGCTGCCAGACAACTGTAGAGGTAAGTTTTTGTTTCAACTGGACAGCACTACACGGGGCAAACAAACAGGGCTGGGCAGCATCACGGCTTTGGGAGAGGCTGGGGAACATATGTCTTATTTTGACAAATAAAAAGGAAATGGGTTAAGGTGTTCCCTTGCTTCTGAAAATCAGATTTCATTTAATCTTTGTCATTAACAGAGATTCTTGATTAGATACCTCTTAAAATACAACGCTACATTATTGCAGCATGGGGAGGAAGAATGTGCTTAGAGGCTTCATGGATCCCGGTCAACATTTTTCAAGTGTTAGATAATGCAGTTCTGGTTTATTTTAAACATTCATCCACAGTGTTGGAAACCATCATGCCAGAACACTTTGTTTCTGTGCAAAACAGAAAACAACACTGGCTGTAAATAGGACAGGAAGCACTACCTGGTCGTGTTCCCTGCCGTTCGTTGCATTGCTTCAAGGCCGTGTCTTGGAGCAGCTTCTGCGTTCGGTTTAAAGACGTTATTGAGTTTTAGCCACAGCCAAATACGATTTATTTTCAGGTTTTACTCATAGTGGGACTGATATGTACAGAGGGCTGAGTCAAAGCATTTAATGGCTTTTCAAGAGTAAATCTATCAAGATAGTTAACTAATGATTTTTCTCCCCCTCTGTTAAGGAATTACTTCCACAGGTCAAAATATTTCTTCTGGGATTGCCAATAGTATTGTCTGCCCTCACTGCTTTCCGCAGTAATGATTAAGTGATACAGAACTTACTTGGGCAATACTGGCTTCTAGACACTGGCAGTTTTAGTTCCTCAGCAACGGAAGACCAGATTCTAGGATGCAGGTGGAGAACCAGGTAACCTACGTGGCGCAACGGAAGACCAGATTCTAGGATGCAGGTAGAGAACCAGGTAACCTACGTGGCATGCAGGTTCCTGAGGAACCAGGGAAGGTGATACAATGCCTGCCACTTCTTCTTTGTAACTTTGTTTTTTCTAAGTGGCTGCCTTAATGACGCCAACTTTTCATTTCAGTGCAGAACATTGGCACAAGCCTTGAAGTCAAGTTAGATTTAGGACAGCTCAGGGAAGCGGTAGGCAACTTCAGGCCCAGGCTGGCTAAGATTCCTGCAGTTAGCTTATTTTTCTTTCATATAGCTTTAAAAATGCTGTAAAAGTTGACAGGATTCACTTATTTCTGCTCTGTTAAAGAGAACGCTGTCAGCTAAGACAGAAAACAGCCTGACAGGACTGTAAAGATAACCTAAAGATGATGGGAGGGCAACCTTTCATTTATTTCCTTTTTTAAACCAAAGCTGAGTTACTGCCAAACCACAGACTGACCAGCAGCATCTGCTCTGCTGCCTTTCGGATGTTCTACCAAACGTTAGATGGCTTATTTCTTACCACTGGTGAGGGGCAGGATGCAGATTTGCTTGGAAGAAGGAAGATACTACAAATTACACCTCACGTAATCACCCCTTCTGCTGGTGGGTAAGCCACTGTAACAGCTTGAGCGTCTCCAGATGCTAGAAGGACTCACTGCAATGTGTGTTTGGGAACGATGGCTGCTGTTCTCTGAAAAATATTACAGCCACCTGAATTTCATCACAGCAGCAGCCCTACGTTTGGCTTAATAAATACAAGCTGGAAGGATGTAAAGTAGCTGCTGTGGCTTCATTACAGCAACTTCATGAGGTCAGCAGATTTGCATTATGGAGTGCAAATGACTTACTTTATCACTAGGACTATTGTTAGCCACAACAAAACTGAC